TTCGCTAAATCGTGCTAATCACACTTTGCCACACTCCACACATTCTCACTCTTACCTACAACAGCTGGGCTGCATAGTGGGCCTACGCTGACTTTCTTTTAATCTTTCTTCAGCCAGGCCTTTGCCTGCCTGGTTACAAAGCTCCTTACAGCTGCAGAGATGGCTTAACAGATTTGAGAACTTGCTACACAAGCATGAGGACGTGAGTTCAAATCCTCAGAACTCACATAAAAATCTGGGCATGGCTGTGAGTCTAGCACTGTGGGGTGGGCAGAAATGGGGGGGGGTGTCCCTGGGCTTTCTAGCCTCTGATCTAGCTCCAGATTCAGCAAGACAGCCTATCTCAAAGGAATAGGTGGAGAGTAATAGAGTAGAATACTTGACTCTTCGGATCTCCATGCAGACATAGGTATACATGCCTGTGTATCCTAATATGTACCACACACATACACACACACACACACACACACACACACACACACAGAGAGAGAGAGAGAGAGAGAGAGAGAGAGAGAGAGAGAATTAAAAATAAGAGAGATATAAAGGAAACTGCTAAAAGATTCAGGGGAGATAAGATGAAAATGCCTCATTAAATAAAGAATATCATAAGGAGATAGGAATTATTTGATTAAATCACAAATTGCAATGCTGTGATTGAAAGGTATACAAGAAATGAGAAACTCTGGGTAGGCTCACAGCATGTTGAGCTGACAGAACAATCAATATAATTTAAGACCAGTCGAAATTTAGTCATTCTGACTGATCAAGACCAGGAGGGGGAAAGCATGATGAAAAGTCAACAAGACTAAGAGAAAGCTGAGGTACTGTTAAATGTAGCACAAATAATAAAAACCCAGAGACAGATATTGGGGTTCCAGCTGAGGATCAGAGAGGCAAAGCAGCTGGCTACCAGCTCTTACCTCTACCTCAGCTGAAAGGGCTCTCCTGTCCTCAGTGTGGCTGGAGAATCAATCTCTGAGACTGAATACTGAATGCCCTGCTTCTGTGTTATGCATCTGTCTAGAGCTGGGATTAAAGGTGTGGATCCCAAGTGCTGAGATCTTCTTTGTGTGAGCTGTTTCTCTTTTAGACTTACTCACTCTAGTGTAACCCTGAGTGGCCTTGAACTCTCCTGCCTCTATGGCTGTGGCTAGCTTTACATTTTGCTCTCCAGTGGCTTTATTAAATCATAAACAATAGATCACCACAGTTAAACACATTAGCGTACACGAAATGAGAGCACTGGGGGAGTAGAAATAAAAAATGAATGGAAAAAAATGTGCACAGAAATAATGGCCATAAAACCCTTAAATTTGATTATATCCATCTATACATAAGAAGCTCTCTGAGCTTTGAGGACGACAAAGAAACAAGGAGCCATACTCAGTAAGTAGAACTATTAAACATCAAAGAAGTAAACCTTGGAGTCAGGAAGAAAAACTAAATCATCAGGTGTAGCGATTCCCAAAACTATCATTCATTAATTCTCTTCAGAAACAGTGGAGGCAAGACAGCAGTGGGATGGTGTAGTCAAATGATGAAGGAGGAACACTGCGAGCTGATAATCACAACCAGAAGAGACATAGTTCAAAAACAGAGCAGAGGCCGGCGGTGCACAGCACACATAAGATTTTGCGGGTAGGGCTGCCTCTGTCAGATACTACAGGGGTGGGAATGTGGCATCATGCGTTCATTGGAGCCATTGGCACTGCACCAGTACTGAACTACAACATAGAAGTGAACTTTGGATAATAACCACCTTCCGGTGCAGAGTCACCAACTGTGACAAATTGTAACACCACGCTGGAGGATCTAGCTGATTGGGAGGCTGCGTGTATGTAGTAGGGACAAGGGGTTGACAGGAAATCTCTCTGTGTGTTTTCCTCTCTGCTTTGCTGTGAACATAAAGCTGCCCTAAGAATTAGTTTTTGAAAATGTAAAAACAAATAAGACAAAGCCACTAAAACTTGAAATTACTAGAGGAAGACATTTCAAAACAGTCAAAGGCAAGTATTTCTAAAAACCTCTCCAATAGGTCAGAAGATCATAGCAAGATCTGGAAAATGGAATTTATAAAACTTAAGTACTTCTGCTGACAAGCCTGACCACATGGGTTTGGGCCGTGAAAGTCACATGATAGAAGGAGAGACTACTTCAAGTCATCCTCTGATCTGCACATACATGTGCATGCATAAATATTTATTACACATAAATAAAATCTAATTTAAAATTTTATTTATTTATTTATTTATTTATTTATTTATTTATTTATTTGGTTTTTTGAGACAGGGTTTCTCTTTGGCTTTGGAGGCTGCCCTGGAACTAGCTCTTTGTAGACCAGGCTGGTCTTGAACTCACAGAGATCCGCCTTCCTCTGCCTCCCGAGTGCTGGGATTAAAGGTGTGCACCACCACCACCCGACTAATTTAAAAATTTAAAGCATAAAATTATTAGAATAGCCAAAAAAACAAAACAAACAAACAATAAAACCAAGTAGACAATAGAGTGGAAAGACAGTAAGCAGGAGAAAGAAAATTCCAGCTATTTATCCAACAGGCAGGTATCCATATATACAGTACATAAGGGACTCAAAACTAAAAACAGCAATTAATTAAAACGAAAACCTGTTGCTCGTCTGATTTGTCAACAATTCACACTCTTTTTGCCAATGTCAATGGCCCCTGACTGTTCAGTGGTGGTTGTTGAAAGTTGGGGCAGCCGTGCCAATTGTTCTGGCTTTTTTTTTCCGAGCAAGACTATGAAGGTTTGCTGTATTGGTTGCCTCGTGGTCTCACAAGAGCATTCTCAAGGTTTCACCAGAGCTTTCTCAAGTGAAAGCCTCAAGTTAATGATGTAAGTTCCTACTTCAAGAAGTTAGACAAAGACAGGAAAGATAAACCCAAATCGACAGCAGGAAGGAAATAACAAGGGGCATAAATACATGGCATCATAAACAAGAAAGACAGAAAATCAAGAAACAAAAGCTGGCTCTTAAAAAGAAAAAAAAAACCATTGATATTAAAGTGTCTCTTGCAACAATGAAAAATTTCTTGGCTGGGAATTGCAGTTCTTAACAGCTCCCTAGGGTGGAAAGGCACAGGTAAATGAATCTACTTCAACTCCTTGGCCTGATGGGAGAGGAGGCACGCACGCCATTGCTCCCCACTTCTACAATACTGAGTTTTCCCATGAACTTGACACCAGTTCATTTCACTGATATGTCCCGATTGGCTCCTCTGCCAGCCTGCCAAGACACCTGGAGAAGATTAAATTACCGGTGGGTACCTGTGTCCAGCTCAGTGCTTTTAACAGAGCACTGAGCTTGTGCATTAGCAGAAGACAGTCATCTCACTAAAGAGCAATCCTAAAGGTCAACTTCAAAGACAAGGATCTCTCCAGTGTGGGATCTCCATCTTTAATGCACTGGGACTCACCTCCCGTGTACATGATGGGTGGCCCGGGAGCTGGAGACCTTCCCTCACCTGTTCCTCTAATATTAGAATCCTAACCCAGAACACCTGGCATTCTGTATGCCGTTGGCCAGGGTAAAACTTCACCCCCTGTCTCAATGCTGAGTATGAGATTTTAAAAATTAGATTAGAGTCCACGGCAAGATTTTTCTGCTTTTCCAGAACCTGATGTTCCCATCGATGCACTTTTTTAAAAAATGCATTGTTGCAACATGGTGTTTGTGGTGACCTGTATCTCTGTAGCCCTTGGGTTTTTTTGTTTTGTTTTGTTTTGTTTTGTTTTGTTTTGTTTTGTTTTGTTTTGTTTTGTTTTGTTTTGTTTTGTTTTGTTTTGTTTTGTTTTGTTTTGTTTTGTTTTGTTTTGTTTTGTTTTGTTTTGTTTTGTTTTGTTTTGTTTTGTTTTGTTTTGTTTTGTTTTGTTTTGTTTTGTTTTGTTTTGTTTGAGATAAGGTCTCATAGAGTCCAGGTTGACCTCAGACTTGTTATGTAGTGGAGACTGTGATCCTCCTGTCCTTCCATCAGATACTAGGATCACAGGTGTGGGCCACCATGCTCAACCTCTTTAATTCTTTTCAGTCACCTCTGTTACATGGTTTTTGGTTAAAGAATGGGGTTTGAAACTTACCTCTTGCTGTGGGTGAGAGCATGACTCTGAGAATTACTAGGAAGATCACAGGTTACCATCTTGGAAGCGGCCTTCTGGTAAATGACAAATACAGACTGTTCTCTCTCCCTTGAGAGTTACTCAGGTCTGTCAACCACCTGGACTGGGACATGCTCCTCAGGACATCACTTGGTCCAGAGACTTTAGGAAAAATAATAATCAATCACCCCTTGAAACATGGAAGTGGGCACAACAGTCTCTCTGGCCACTGTCACCTCTTCAGAGTGTCTCACATTCTATAATAAATTTTGTCTGTCTTCTGTACTGTATACCACATGTCATGTCTGAATTCATTTGATGGAGAATACAGGGACCAGGGAGTTGAGGGGAGAGCAGAGTGAGACTCTAGTTAACATCCCCCACAACACATATACATGCATTCTTTTTTTTTTTTTTTGAGACAAGTTTTCTCTGTGGCTTTGGAGGTTGTTCTGGAACTAGCTCTTGTAGACCAGGCTAGTCTCAAACTCACAGAGATCTGCCTGCCTCTGCCTCCCGAGTGCTGGGATTAAAGGCGTGCACCACCACCGCCCCGCACGTGCATACTTTTTATTGTCAGCATACAAAACATATGAGGTTTTCTTTGGCATTTGTGGAGCATAAATTGTCTTTGATGCTGCTCTTTCCCCTCTTTTCTCTATAACCCCAAAGCTGTCTCCCCCAATAGACTCCTTGTCACATTCATACCACACCTGAATGTGACTAAGGTCACATCTGACCCTTAGTGCTCTCCTCCCTTCCTCTGTGCCTCGTGTTCCCATCTTGGGGTCTCCTATCTAGCTTCACAGTCAGTATCCACTCTCACACCCCTTATTTGCAAACATACAAACATTGAAAATAAGGATTCACACTTGAGACAGATCCTGTTGATTTGGCCTTTCTGAAACTGGGCCATTTAATTGAATACTTTGCTGTTCCATTTACTTTCTGTCAAATTTCATAGTTTTGTTTTTCTTTACAGCTGAGTAAAATTCCAGTGTATATAAACCATATTTCCATTATCCTTTCATCTTCTGATAGACATCCGGGCTGGTTCCCTTTCCCTGCTGTAGTGAATAAAGCAGCAATAGACATGGATGACAAAGACCTGGTGCCAGATTCTGCAGAACACCAGGAGCACTGATTTCAATGGTCTCTGGTGGTCTCCGGTCAACACTTATCAGGTGTTGTAAAAACAATGTTTTTAATGAAGGAAAAAGCTTCCCACCAAAGGTCAACTTGTTTCTGTAAAATTGAATTTTTCCCCCTACAAGACTAATAGAGTTTTTACTGAGACTCCAAGAAAGGATTTGACACAGTGAAAAGCTGAGTTATGATTAAAGAAGACAGAAATAAAACATGCAACTAAATGAAGTTTAAGATCCAACATTGTGTAACTGGAAAACAACGTTGGAGGGCCTGCATGTTTAACACAGATTAGTGTCTTTCTCAGGTCTTTGCACCATTAAGTCCTAATGGAAAGGTGGGGCTCACAGTATCAAGAGCTAATATGCAGCCTCAGACTTAGAGTGAAACACAGGCATGCTTCATCATGGCGTGGCTGCAGGTGTGTCATTTGACATTTTGTGTCTTTGTTCCTTCAGAGGTCAAGGACGGATGCCATCATCTGTTTTTTCAGATTAACTGCAAGTGATACAGTTGTAAAATATGGAAAATAGCATTTGCTAGGAGACTGTTCCTCCCTGAGGGCAGCATGTTTCTCAGGATTGCCTCTCTACATATTTCATGTATACAATGACCTTTGAAATAGCCACCCCCACCCCTGCTCTGAGCTTTCCTCTTACCTATAGCTGCACTTTGTTCTCCTGGTGTCTTTGCCAATGGAGAGGCTACTTTGTATTAATTCCAAGGAGGCTTTCATCCAGGTTTTCCTGTACCCGAAGACAAATATGATTTATTACCCTCTCATTTAATTTAGAGAATAGAATGATCTCATGCCTGTGGGTTGACATGGAGACAATCAGTGCATTTGCCCAGTCCCTCAGCAACTTGCCCAAGCTGTTTCCCTAGGGGCAGGTGCTGAGCAAGCCCTAAAGTCACACCATTCCTCTTTGGGAAGGAGCTTTATTTTCTTGGAGAGGAGGCAGAGGGGCTCAATAATCCCCCCTTTAACATGACGTTCTTATTCTAGAACATGCATCCCAGAGATACCTCAGGCATGTGAACTCTCCACATATAACTCTTTGCTGGGTGAATACCTCCAGGATATTCTCTTGGAGACTGGTAACATCAGTACCATCCCCATGCCTGCTGGGGAGGAAAATTCACTGAGATTATGAATGCCCCTCTATATTAATTAACCTTACCACATATGATTCCATAAAGGGGCTTTTGTTTGTGCTCAGTACAACCATAAGAATACAAGAACCAGTGAAACATGTCACCATGAAAGGACCAGAGACTCCAAAAGAGCAGAACTTTGGCTTACTGCCATCTTCCTGAGGCTTGAGAGGTAGCACAGATGACTACTGTCTCACTTACCTTACACCCACAAAGTGGGGTCCAAGTTAAACATGCTAAAAGATATCTTGCCTTGTTGAGTTTGTTCTTTGAGATTTAGAAATGCAGACTTGGAAGTAAAATGGGATGGAAAAAAAGAAGTTTGTGATTTTGTGATTTGAATGATAGATGTTGCTTCATTGTCTCTGGCATCTCAATACTTGTTCCCTTGCTGGTAGCCTTGTCTGGGGAGGCTTAGGAGGTTTGGCTTTGCTGGAGGAAGTGCATCACTGGGGTGGGCTTCAAGCTTTCAAAAGTCATAGGCTATTCTCTGTGCATAAGCATCCTGCGTGTGCTTTGAGATATGAGCCCTCAACTCTCAGCTTCCAGCTCCAGCCACCATGTCTACGCCCACTGTTCCTGCCATTGTTGACCCAAATTCTCTAGAACCATGAGCCCCAAATAAACTCTTCTATAAATTGCTTTAGTCATAATGTGTTACCACAGTAATATAAACCCTAAGACAAGACTTTAAGATAGTAAAAAAAAGGTTCCAAATTTTGTTATATACTGTATATTTATTATTTTTTAAACAGAGAAATAGAGAAGAATGAAAGGAAAGAAGAAAAAGAACACAGGCAATTGTGGCAATGCAATGTTATGAAATACCTCATACATGCTAAGAGACTGGAACTTTTGTTGGACCTCATAACCAGAGCTAATAATGCACCTTGAGGTTACTTAAGGCTGTGAGTCCACTGTGTACTCAGCCTGTTTGCTTACCCTGCCTTTAAGAGAAAACTCTAAGCATCAACTTACTTGCTTTGGATTTTCCATGTAATCAATTTTTACACCCTAAGATAATCCACAACTGTAATCTTAAATCATGAACTCTTCCATGCCCTTGACCTAGAGTGAAGTATGTGTATCACTTACTGAAAGTAGCAAAATATAGAAATTAAAAGCCATATTATAAAGGGAATATTTACCATAAATAATGAATGTAACATGTGGACATTGCTTGACAAACCCTGATGTTTGTAATGTTTGCTTCTTTTCCTTGAGTTGTGGTCATTTGTGACTTAATCCCTTGTAAAACTCTGTAAAGAATTTCTGTATAATATCCCTGACTCCTTCCCCATGTGATGCTTTCTGTGTTGCTCAATAGGTACAGAGCAGAGCTCTTTGTCAGGGACAGTGAGAAGGACAAGGGCAGATTCACAGACAGACTTCAATCAGGTGCAGACTCAGACTCATACAACCATCAGAGGACAGAAGACACAGGGAGCATGAAATAGAGAATTCAAATGGAAGCTCACTCTTGTTAAATGACATCAAGGGCAAGTGCGTTGATTTCTTTCCTTAACGCAACACTGACACATTACTGGTGACTTTGAGTTTAGTATTAATGAGTTCAAACCTAGTGGAATTTGGCAATGACTAGAAAACAATCATGAATATGATAATTACTTATCAAACTGTGCTAATAATCACATAAGTGTGAATCATATAGATAAAAATTAAAAGACAGATTGTCATATGGAATAAAAAGTGAGACCAAACTCTATGTTCCCTATATAGATTCAAGTAGCTGAAAAGTAAAGGAATAGAGAAAGGTATACCAGGCTAACACCAAACAAATAAAAGACAATATGTTATGTCAACTTCAAACAAAGCAGATGTCACAGGAAGTCAAAATATCAATGATAAAAGCAGGCATAACCTAATGGCTTCACCATGATGTGCATTCCAATAAGACGACATCACCAACAAGGAGGCTCATAATGGCATGCCAAAAAAATATGGGAGGTAAAAAAGCGACAGAACCAAAGGAAATCAATCTACTCTTACAATTGAAGTTCCAACACCTATGTTAGATAATTAGCCAGTGCTGGGGCTGGAGACAGAACTCACATGGTAAAGTCCTTGCTGTGGAGGCGTGGCCACCTGCTTGCCCTCCATAACCCATGTACAAATGCTGACTGCACCGCTGTGTGCTTGTATTGAAAAGGTTGAGACAAGAGGCTCTCTGGGGCTTGTTGGCTAACCAGCTTAGTCACATGATAAGTTCCAGATAAAGTAGTAAGCCAGGTCTCACAAAAGAAGGTGGAGGCAGCCAAGAAAAACACCTGATGTCATCCGCTGGCTTCCACATGTACATACCCCCACCAAAAGTAAATAAATAAGTAGAAATTAACAGATGAAGTAAGCAAAAAAAAAATCTGTAAGGCTATAGCTGAACCAAAAAATTAATTGCAAAAATGCGTATCATGAGCTGGAGAGATGGCTTAGGGCTTAAGAGCACTGACTGCTCTTCCAGAGGTCCTGAGTTCAATTCCCAGCATCCACATGGTGGCTCACAACCATCTGTAATGGGATCTGGTGCCCTCTTCTGCCCTGCACATGACAAATAAATAAATCTTTTAAACAAATGTGTATCATACAGCTAAAGCAGTGCTTAGAAGATATATTAGTCAGCTTTCCAACACTGTGGCAAAATACTGGAGATAAACAATTGGCGGTGGTGCCGCACGCCTTTAATCCCAGCACTCAGGAGGCAGTGGCAGGCTGATCTCTGTGAGTCCAAGACCAGCCTGGTCTATAAGAGCTAGTTCTAGGACAGCCTCCTAAGCCACAGAGAAACCCTGCCTCAAAAAACTGGGGGAAAAAAGGTGTTTATGGTGACTCACGGGTACTCCATTCTGCTGCTCCGAGCTTGTGGCACATCATTATAGGGCAGAACAAAGAACTCCTTACCTTGTGTGATGCCAAGAGAGGAGTACTTGAAGTCCCGGTATGCCCTTGAAGAGCATGCCTCTTAAGATTCCTCTCACAAGCACCAGGGATTGAGGGCAAAGCCTTTCCCCTGTGGTCCACTGAGGGATAAAAACATGGCAGAGGAAAACTTAGATCCTTGAATGTGCTTATGTTTGAGATGACATCTGCAATCAGTAACCCAAACTTTTGCTTTAGAAAGTGAAGAAAATAAGATCAGTATAAGCCTAAAGTGAGGAGAGAAGGAGGAGGGAGAATTTCAAAAATGAAAATCAGTCAAATTATCCAAGGAAAGAGAGAGAGAAGATAGATCACCAATGGTGAGATGGATAGTGAGCTATCATTATTGCTTCCTTTGACCCCCAAAAGATAACGGGGGGGGGGATACTATGAAGAACTCGACTCTTACCAAGTTGCTAATTCTGATGAAATGGGTCACTTTCTTGAATGATAAGAACAGTCATTCACAAGAGGCATAAACAAACTGGTGGGTTTTTTTATCTGTTAACAAAGATGAATCAACAACTACTAATGTTTCTAAAAGGAGAATACACGTGGTTTCATTGATGAGATAAGACCAAACATTTGAGGATGAAATGTGCTGATTCTCCAAAATATCACCCCGCTATAAAAGCCTACAGAACTCTTCTTTCTTTCTTTCTTTCTTTCTTTCTTTCTTTCTTTCTTTCTTTCTTTCTTTCTTTCTTTCTTCTTCTTCTTCTTCTTCTTCTTCTTCTTCTTCTTCTTCCTCCGCCTCCTCCTCCTCCTCCTCCTCCTCCTCCTCCTCCTCCTCCTTTTCCTTTTTGGTTTTTTGAGACAGGGTTTCTCTGTATTGCTTTGGAGCCTGTCCTGGATCTCGCTCTGTAGATCCACCTGCCTCTGCCTCCCGAGTGCTGGGATTAAAGGTGTGGGCCACAAACGCCCAGTGGCCAGAACTACTCTTCTTCATGTATCCTCTGACACCAATATAACCCTGACATCACACCCAGCTGAAAGAACATATATATTTGTACACACACACACACACACACACACACACACACACACACACACACCTATAAATCCTCGATGAGGTATTAGCAAATTTAATCCAATAACTTTAAAAAAACCAACATGCTACAAGATATGGGATTTGTTCTACGGAAGCAATGACTGTTGCAACATTGGCTACTCAATGTAATTCATCACATCTATCCTGGTTAGTTTTTTTTTTTTTATGTCAACTGAACACAAGATAGAGTCATTTGAGAAGAGGGAAACTCATTTGAGTAAGCACACCCAACAGATTTGGTCTTTGGGCCAGACAGTGGGGCATTTCCTTGACTAATGACTAATGTGTGACTAAGAAGAAGAGTTCTGTAGGCTTTTATAGCTCAGCTCACTGTGGGCACTGTCTCCCCTGGGCAGATGGTCCTCACATGTGTAAGAAAGCACACTGAGCAAACCATGAGGGGCAAGCCAGTAAGCAGTGTTCCTCTATGGTTTCTTCTTCAGTTCCTGCATCTCTTCAACGTGATAAAGCATACTGCCAGTTAATGTTATGCTTAACGGTGAGAAGCTGGGTGGATTCTGTGGTGGTTTGAGCGAGAATGTTCCCCCATAGACTCATCTATTTGAATACTTGGTCTGAGTTGGTTCAGCTGTTTGGCAAGGACTA